TTGCACCTCGTGTAACCTGCCAGCGAATACCCCTTAGTTATGAAACAATCCCACATAGAAAATCGGCTTCAATACTGCTTTACACTCAAAAAATTCATGTCTCAATGATAAAATCCTAGGCAACATCCTCCATAAAATTATCAAGATATGCTGACTTTTTCAGAAGTTTCTGAGATGCCTATATGAGTTTCCTCGGTATTATTGTGAATAAAAAGGTTAATGAGTTGAAATGTTTTGTCCAAAATTATTCTGCTGGTGGCATAAGTGACAGAGCAGATGCTGACATTTTACATGTAGAGGGTTCCTCAGTGAAGGAGCACTTAATTAAAAATGGGGATTTGAGAGATTCCAGAAAATTTCATGTTTACCCTAAAAGTACCCAAAATTTAGTTTATTTTCTTTTTCATTAGCAAGCTAGTATGTTAGCCTACTGTCTTCTTGTTTTATTACTATTTAATGCTACAGGGGTGTTTAAATTTTTTTTTATTAAAGTGGGAACTCTTACAAGCATAACTGTGTCATCTTTCTCCAAACACATACATAATTTTTACAAAGAAATCTAAAAGTTTAGAACTTTGCACATATAGAAAGGATTTCAGCCACAAAATAAGTCTTGGTAGTTGGCAAAATAAGCATTTATGGCCAAATGGTGATTCCACATGGCTGCAATTTTATAAAAGGCTGGCACAGTGTTAAAGAAATGTAGCCTCAGTCTTTGAAAACAAATTTTCCTTTTGATTTGAAAACTAAGCACAAAAAACAAACTCAAAGGCTTGAGTGAAACAACTTAATTCTAGTGCCAAAAAATTCAGGCCTGGCCTGGATGTCAATGATCAAAGTGGAGAAGCAGCAAGGTGGCATTCTGCCCCCACCAGTGCAGCCTGACTCTCCTCTTCCTCTGCTTTCCAAGGACAATCATTGCTCACAGCAAAGATTTTAGAAGGTCAGCTACCAATGCCACAGTAGCTATCATTATTATTTTTCTTTCTAATATTTCATGACTTCAAAACACACCAAATCTGGTGAAAATGCCAAAAATGCATGTGATGACAGAGAATGTTGACAAACCACTCTTGCAAAAACAATTTTAGTGGCAAGTAAGGAGATGTAATTTATATTTGCAGCTATAATTAAAAGAAGTAGTAAAAAAAAATTTCTGTAACATCTGGATACAGGACTGTGATAAACACACTAAATAAAAGAGATTTTGAAACCATCTTATATATTATTTCTAAAAATTTAAAATTTAATTGTGCTATACAAAACAATAGCCTGCAGTTTAAAGTGCATTTGTTCACTGACTCAAGTATTTATTGAATGCTTCTCTCCTGTCCTGCACTGTTCTCGGAAGCAAGAATCAGCTGTACACATTGTAGACAACAAGCCTCCCCTCCTGGAGTTTGCATTCTAGTGGAGAAAGACCTTGGAACCTCCCAACTAAACCAAGATGCTGGATAATATTTCTCACCAAACCTGACCTTAAAACTTATCACTAGGCTAACAAGAACGTGGAAGGGAAAGAGCAACAAAGGCTGGCTTTTACCCTTTGTAGTTCTGCTAAACTAGAGAATTCTTAAAAGTTTCTCTGGTAATACAGTTTTCATTTTACTGAGGTTGAATTACTGATGCTTTTCTTATGGTTAGCTTTTTTTAAAAAAATTATAAACCATCTTTTTAGAAAAGATGGTTTCTTCCAAAAGTTTTTAAATTTTCCTTTCACATTTATGTATTTTATCCCTCCGAAACTGACTTTGGGCATACCGTGAGGTAGGAATTATATTTTATTTTTTTTCCATATGGCTAAATACTTGTCCCACAGAAAATGTGTTGAACAACATTCTTTCCTTGTCAAACCTGACAAGCCACATATATCATATATCATGACTCCATGTCTGGGTGCACTCAGTTCTATATTTTATCTTCTGTTCCATTCGTCTATTTGTCTATCTCTATAAGGAAATCTCATAGAATTTACCACATTATTGTGACTACCAGGATAAATGTTGTGTCTTCTGTCATTTTTGTAAGCTCTTAAAAAGTATAGTGGCTTATGACCTATTCATCTTTTTATTCTCATAGCATCTAAACCAGTATTTCTAGACTATAAGCTTATTTGTTAAATAAGGAATGAGGTCAATGGCAATACTGATCCTTAGCTGCAGATTCATAAATGTCCCCTCCCCTGACTAGTTCAACAGAACTAAATTTATGCATGTGTTAACTATATTTTCTTATTTTCTGTCTTCTCAATGCTCTGGCATTAGGGTCTCACTGATCAGGAAAGGACTGCCACTTCCAGGGTTAGTCAATTCCTAGAGATAGAAGTCTATTCACCAGGCAGCATGCCTTTCATATGTAAACCTACCAATCCAAAGTTCAGACCCTCCAACTACCTCCTTTCTCTAGCTCTCACATACCAAGTCAATTTCCCCTACCCTGTCATGCCAGGACTGGGTACCAGGCAACTAGGAACAGCCCCTATGCTCCAGAGCCCACTGAAATCATTCATACTAGCAATCCTAAGTCTGCATACCCTGCCTTGCCTTGCTATTTCCATAGAAATGACACTAAAGGCTGTTGCCTCATTTTGTTCCTTCTGCCTCCTGGCACTTCCCACATGACCCCTGTTTTCCAGGAATCCGTGAATGTAAGCTTCTTCCTCCATGACAATCACTTCCATGTCTGTATGTCTTACCACATCTGATTAAAACAAATCCCAGGTACACTTTAAGACAATGCACAGTAAATTTAGCTGTTATTTTCAGCAAACATGATTTAAATGAGAAAGCAAATATAAACTGTTAGCTTGCCAGTGATTAAGGAATTTAAGATTTTAGAGGCAGTTCATTATTCTAAGCATTTGATAACTGGTAGGATTATTCAATAAGAAACAAAGATATACTCAAATTGTTTCTCTTTGCATGTCCTAAAAATTCAGGCTCATATGAGTTTTATTTTGAACATTTATGAAGAAATTGTTCTTTTAAGAACAGAAAGTTAAATTCAGAACTGTGATAATCCTTAAACCTTATCATATTACACTTTGTCCTTTTCACAGATGACAAGGTGAACTATTGAACTGTGTGTGCTGATTCTCTATATTCGTATTTCAAAGAACTGTGTATTTGGAAGAGTTAATCACAACATGGAGTGCATCATATAAAATTACCTCACAAAGGTTTATTAAATTGAGCTGTCCAATACATACTTTGAAATGGGATAAAAACTAATCTTTCCAAAGAACAGACAAAAGAAGTAATCACCTAATTTTCTTCCCTTTCAATAAAAATAATTAAAAGTAGTCCATGTTTAAGTAAATTCAACCTACTGAAGCTTCAGTTTTGCCTCCTATAGTACCACAATGATGAGTTTCTCTTGGAAAAACTGCAAGGATTCTCAAGTAGGTCAAAGGGCTTTAGAGTAATTTTAATTTTAACAACAACACAGTGTAAAAGAGTAAACACAGCACTGCATGTTGAGCCAACACACTTTGGAAGCCAGTTTCATCTGTGGAGTTCACACTTCAGCTTGATAACAATTTCTCTGGTTCTCAGTTTCCTCATCTCTAAAACAGACATGATAAGACTTGGCCTGTTTCCCAAACAAGAATTGAAGAAAATGCTTCAATTAAATCTCATATCAATGTATTATTATTAGTCAAAATCATTATTCTATAAAGAATTTTATCTAATATCACTTTTATATGTTAATTTTATGAAATTTTAATGATAGTCTATCAAGAATTTCCCAAGTATCAGAGATGTTGTTTCAATTTTACATCACAGTGAAAACTAGTTTCCTTGGTTTAAAAAAACATCCATTAAGGTAAAATTTTAGCTTTTATGTTAATCATTTAAAAATATTGTTTGGCATTTTAATAACTCTCTTTTACTTAAACTATTACTTTGTAGTGGTTGTTTTCACACAAGGTATCTGTGTGTGAACATGAATGGGCAACCAGAAAAGTCTTGGCTCTGGTCACCCTTTCCTGCACCGATTCCTCAGAGCATGAGTCTCTCTGACACTCCACAAAACAAAGCAAAACAAAACCTGGCTCCTCCATGGTCTCCCCGTTCTCATCAGCCTGGTCACACAGGTGAGAGAATTTAGCCATTGTGAGGCTCACTTACCCAGTGTCACACAATATGTGTGTGCACGTGTGAATAGCTAAAACTGCAGACTGCTCCACACACACTATTTTGGGCACCTAAGATGTTAGTTCATTCATTTATTCTTCCAACAACCTTTATAAAGTAGGGGCTGTTATCTCCAATTTACAGACAAAGAAATAGAAGGACAGAGATTGAGTTATTAGCTCAAGACCACCTAGCTATTCCTCATCAGTGCCTGGAAGCCAACCAGAAAGTGTGGCTCTCAAGTCAAACAATCTGAGGTTAAAAAAGTTGCAACAAATAAGGAATAGGAAGTTATTTTTTTAAAGTTTAGAAACAAAACTAAATGATATGTTGCTTGACACACATGGTATTATTATAAAAACAAATTTGTGCTAGGGTTCCAGGATAATGGGAGAAGGGGAGGGACTTGAGAAAGAATTCGAGGAGGCCTCACTGGCTTGGGTGCCATGCTAGGTCTTAAGTTGGGTAGTAGGCTCACTGGTGTTCACTTTATTACTGTGCCCTGTGGCTTACATATTGCATATGTTGCAACTTACATTTTATGTATCAAATACTTTAAAAAAATTTTTAATTAATCAATAAGCTATCTACACTCGTTGACTTATCCTGGATTTATAACATGTATGAGTTGGAAAAATCACTCTTCCTCTTTCTAGAGCAGAAGAAATTAAATCAGAGATGGTAAAGGCTTGGCATGAATACCATCCCTTCCTCCTACACTGGACAGTGGTCAGGAGCACGGCACACTTCCTCCTACAACTGTTTCAGTTGTAGGAGGAAGTCCTCTGCATACAGGACTCCAAGAACTCACAGCTGATCTCGCAGCTGCCTGCGTGAGTGTCTCTTTTTCAAAATGCAGTTTACCTGTTAAGTTTGAAGCATCAGTGGGACTCAGTTGTAACCAGTGACGGGCATCAGCATCAGCCACAACATCTGTGGGAGTATTCAGCTCTGGGTCTTCCTCACAGGTCTGCCATGGGCCCATGGACAGCTCTGCCTCATTGTTACAGCCTGGAGCTGTGTCACTGTTGGTACTTTCACCTGGTATAAGAGAAGAACCACAGTTTAAAGGAGCTGAAAATCAGAACATTCACAATTACTGTTATACAAGTAACTAAACATTCAAACAGGAGACACGGGAGGAATCATTCAGGTTCTTTGGCAGAATCTGCAGAACTTGAGAGGAGCTCAAAAAGTGTCCATGTGGGGCTCTTGGTCAAGAAAGTGAATCTTCCAAATACAGAATATTAATAGTCATTATGAGCACCACTATGTATCATTCAAGTGGCACTCATCAACATGTCTTCAATCAGCATCCCCTCTACCCAAATCACACCAAATCCTAAAGTGTGCTAGACTTACAAAATGAGGGTTGGTGGAGGAACGAGATAGTAACTGATCCACCACAAATGCAAGTGTACTCTGCCGGACAGAAGAGTCTAAAGATACTGTATTCCCCAAGCCTCACATGTAGACGTAAACCTAGGGTGACTCATTTTCAGTGTCATTTGGGGATACAGTGCCCCAATATAATACAAAAGATTTTCTAGAACAGAAATTCTCCCCTTTAAACAGTAATAAGTTCTAATTTGTCAGAATATGATAAGGCTGGGCTACTAAGACTTACAGCACTATTGAGTCTGACATAAAAGAAACCTGAGAGGAGATATATAGGAGAGAGATCCAAGATGGCTGATCACTAGCAGCTTGGGATTGCAGCTCCCACTGAAAGAGCAGAGAACGAGAGGACGCCACACTTTCAGATCAATTTTTGTTGCTCACACACCAGGAGATTCCCAGCGGAGGAGCCCCACGTGTCGCCAGCGTGACTCTTGAGGCCGGTGAGGCGGTTTTGCCGCTG